TAACCATTGTAGGGCAGGTAATTTAGCTTTGCGAGGGTGGAGAGATTAAAAAATTGGGAGCACATAATTATTTGGACAACCTAGAAGAACAAAAATCCATGGTTTTTGTTTCACAGTCAAATATGAACTTTGTAACATACCCTTGTCAATCTGCCACTTTGAGAACAAGCTTATTTGTTTACCCATAAACACCCTGATTTATGTGCTTAACTATTCAGTAGTACGTAGTAGTTATAGATACTAATTTGAAAAATGCTTTTTGTTTTTTCCCTGGCCAAATGCGGGCCTAGCCATTCATTTTGGGAATGGAAATTGGCTTTGGGCACAACACGTGACTCCACAATGGTCGAAAGTAAATTGGCTTGTTTATCGGTTTTCGAAAGTGTAAAAACAAGATTTTACCTCTCATGGTGGTTTGTTTATTTGGTGAGCTACTGGTGGAGTTACTGGGGTTAACATGGTATGTTTTTGGGAAAAGTTAGGGCTTTTACTGCGTAGTAAAAATGCTATGGGTAGTTTTTTATATCTTGGGGGCGGAGGAAGTTTTGTCGCTTTTTAACGTGAAATTATGTATAAATTTGCGACAATACTTTATTTATAGCTTAAAGCTGTAGAATTGAAACTTGTGTTAATATACTCTTAGGCAAAAGGTGGTATTAGCCCCGTAAAAGAGGCTAATACAACTGGGCCGGGCTCAATCTCTAGTTGCGCGGCCAACACAGGGTTCTTGAAGCTTTGGTTTAGGCTTAGCTCTTTAGCCCACGTGCCCCGGCCCCCTTTCAGGTCTACATGATGTAGTTACTATCAAAAGCTATTTTCCAAATTTCCAAAAGAATCGCAACATTTAGGGTTGATTTAATGGCCTTTTGCGGGTTTAATGATATGCAGTAAATAAACCTTATTTACGATTATTTTGGAAAACGCTACTTAAATGGCGATTAAATTTTTCGAAGTATAAATCTTCTAAAGGCTCTTTTTTATATTTAAAATTGACTTTTTTGAAGTTATGTACCATTTTTTAATAAACATCAAGATGTAAAAAAGCCTTATCGTCAATACACACGCATTTGCAGATCTAAAAACGACAAGACTTTTTTTTCAAATTTGGCAACACTGCCTATTCTATATTCATTTTCATTGTGCTATTAATAACTCAGAAACCAATTCTACATTAATTTTATGGCCAAAAGTCACGAAAGATACGAACATCTCTCCTTAAAGCGACTCTTTGTTAGTTCAAGTGAAAGAGTAATTGAATTTGTTTTTGTCCGTCTTCGGCAGTGGACTGTTTTTCCAGTCGAACGACTTTGGCTAATTTATTTTTAATCAAAAACAACAAAATTGTTTTCAAATCGTCTTTTTCTGTACAACACTTTTGTAAACTTTAGTTTGTTATTGTAGGGAGAAGGTTGGGAGGGTATGTTAGTTTGTTGTTGTAGGGAGAGGGTTGGGGAGGGCGGGCTTTGTTGACTTGTAGATGGGTTTTGTGAGGCTTGGCTTGTGCTGAGTAGGACGGGAAAGTAATACATACTCTAGCAATTAGTTGTACAGGAGTTTTACAACAGTCAAACTTCTGTAGTACGATACTCAAGAGACTTAACCAAACCTGTCCAGAGTGGCACAATATCCATATTATTTTTGATGGACTTTTATTACAAAAGGCAGTCCAAAAGCACTGTGAGACTATCAAGGGTCTTACTAAAGAAGTTTTGGTATATGTTTTTTTTAATTGATAAAGGGACATCTAAAAATTTACTGGGGGTAGATATGTCTCTCTCCCTGGTCGAAAGAGTTTTTTACCCTCTTTCTTCTACCTTCTTGGCCAAAATTATTTTTTTAGCATTTTTTCGCTGACTAAAAGGCTAAAATGGTTCTACTACTAAAGTATAAATTTTTAAAACAGTCTCACTTTTTAGTTTTTTAAATTTTTGCTGTTTTCTAAACACCCTACTAATCCTAACACAAAGAGACCCTGACTATCCTAACACTTTTTTTTATCAGAGTTAACAAGTTACAAAACAAATTGTTTATAAACCACAATTGTTTTTATGTTGTTCATTAATAACTCTTCCAGATAACACACTGACCCTTTTCCGAACAAAAAAGTTATTTTTATTGTAGGGGGGGGGGGGTTGTTTTTGTTATTTTTGGATAATTATGCGCTTGTTTATGGGGCTGAATTCATTATGGTTCCATTTTTTAATCAAATGAGCGGTTGTAACTAAAAACATATACGTTATTTCCCACACCATTACGATGCTTTTTACGTTTATATTGGCGGCATATGAAAGAAGGTACAAAAGTTTTGCAAAAGGGTACATTAGCCATGTGATGGTGGTTTTGACGAGCAGTTTGTAAAGGTGAACAACATGAAAATGTGTTTCCAGACATTTTGAAAAAAAATAATATTGTGTACGGTAAAAATTACATTAAAGTCGTTTAAAAAAGCCTGTGGTAATTTTTGCCAATTTGGCGGGAAATTCAAAACGTAATTTTTGGATCCCGGTTTTCTCGAGATTTCTTGGAAAGCACAATTTAGTACTTTTCTGAAAGTCTTTTAGTTACATGATCTTTCTTTTTAAAAAGTTTGAAGTCGAACAGAGCGGGACAGGTTGAGCACTTTTCTTGTGGGTTGGACTACCAGTACTGACCTTAACATAGGTTTTTATACACTTTGTTGTTGTTTATTATTTTTGTTTTATTCTGTCTGGATTTAGTTTTGTTTTTGTTGTTTATGCTTCTTTAAAGTATGTCTTTGTAGACTGTAATTTAAGAGCTTGGCTGTTCAATTAAAAATTGTAAGGTAGAACCTGGGCCTTCAAAAAAAAAGTTTAAAAATTTTACAGCGTTAACCTACTTTATATTTGTTTTGGTCTTTTATTTCTAGCACTAGCGACTACGTACTGGTACTTTTCAAAAAACATTGTACTCTATAGCTAAAAATTTCAAAAAATTCTTGAAATTTACAAAAAGTTCGTTTAAAATCTCTTCAAAGCTCTTATAGTTTAAAAACCTCACCTTTCTTTCCATCTTATGATTACCCCTAATGTCATACTTTATTGGAGGTATGTCTTCTCACCTTGTGATCTCTAAAACTCTCTTTACTCTTCGTTTTATTGGCTTAACCTCTTGGTGGATCGCATAAAAACAAAAATAAATAGCCGGGTTATATTGTCTTTTGGTGCTTTCACATCAACAAAATGAGGCACACACATAAATAGGCGGTGAGAAAACACTTTTCGGATATAATCGTATCTTGAAATGAGGACATCTTTTCGAAAATAGCATTTTGGGGGAGTTTTTGAGGCAAAAACTAGGATTTTTATGGTAAAATACGAGGTTTTTCACTGTATATGTAGTCTTTAACCACCCTACCCTACCCTACCCTACCCTACTCTATAAAATACTGTAAGATCTCATATATTATACCATGTACATACTATACCCCTCTCAACCCTATAACAATAAACATACGAACATAAACAACACGCATACGAAGTGTGTATGCCAGACCATTATGCGGTACCTATGCGAGCGCTAAACGGTAAACAAACTTGTTTTTTGTTTTGCCAACAACTTTTACGCGAATTCGAATAAAATTATTTGGTCATGATAGGAGCCACATTTCCCCAGCCATATGTCAGCTTTTACTTTGAGTTTTCTTCTTTACTACAGATTCGTCTGAAGTCATAGTAGTTGGGGAATGGGTATGGGAGACATTGTAACGTATGAAGGGGAGAGGGGGTATTGAAACTAATGGGTATGGAGGGAAAGAGTGGAGGAGAGAGAGGGGGGGAGAGTCATTAAGATGGTATGCGGAAAGGTGGAGGGAGCTTGTACATTTTATGAAATTTGAATTAAAATTTTGTGTAAAGTATTTTTTATCATTTGGGTATTTTTAAATGCTTATAATTGGAAGGTAAAGAAATCTATTTATTATACTTTTTTAAACAAAAAAACTTTTGAATAAGAAACCCTGTAAAAAATAAAGCTAGGCCCATCATTTTCATTTTACCTATAAGTCCCCCCATATTTGGACACTGTTTGTTTGTTTTCTTGTTTTTATTTGGTCTTTATTGCGTTTATTGACTACTTTTTATTACCTTTTTACCATTTTTCTTATTCAATAATAAAAAGTACCAAAAACAGTATTTTTGCAAATTTTTATATTGGTCTTTATGTTTTGTGTTTTTTTGCAAAATTTTACTACTCCGAGTACCGCTGAAAGGGAGCCTACTAAGTCCAACCCGGCTCGGCCCCTTTACAGATCTATGGCCGAGTCTTGGTTTGGGCCCCGGCCCTGGGATCATAGATGCCAGCGCAAACCCCGGTTCCTTTTAATATTTTTTGATTCTAGGCTTGGCCCCTTTCAAATTTCCTTCGGTCTTAGTGAACCTCTTTCAAGCCTACCTATAACATTGAATTCACTTGAACCCCATAAACGCTAACCAAATTCCAGTGGGTATACCACCAGATTTCCTTTTTTGTTTACCTTTAATTCTATTTTGTTCTCCATTTAACGACCCTCCAACGCCACGCCCATTCCTGCACTTTTTGTTTTTATTTTTGTTATTCCAAGTAGATTTTAGATCTTCTGGCTGGTACATCAATCTTTGGACAACAACATTCTTCTATAAAATGTTTTTTTAACCGTGTTATAACGTGCGGCACATTGGTTTGATGTCATGGGCGGCTGTTTTGGCATCAGTATGATATTTATTACTGTTTGGGTGTTGTTTCTTGGGCTTGTAAAATCATTTACTAGGGTTAGACAGAACGTTTGTTATTTGTGTGGCTAGGGGTGGGAATGGACGGTTAAGGGGGGGGGGTGTTTTAATACAAAATGACCCGCCGCATACTGAAACAAATCTTTGTTTTTTACCGTGCTTATACCGTACTATGTTCTACCATGATTATACCGTGATATTTTCTACCGTGCTCTCTATATAGCCTTTACAAACGTATGTTAACAAAAGCCTAATGTGAATATTGTTTCAGCCATGGCAGCTTCGAAGTTCGCCTCAAATCAATTTACAATCTTTGCATTGTTATTCACCGTACTGTTCCTAGTACTGTTCGGTATCTTTGGACGGTACTCCGGTGAATCTCTGCCAAATGGTACTCCAGACTTTGCTCGCGTTTCGCGCGACTATCCACGTGAGTTTGAGTTTATTTTTTTAAGTTTAACTTTTATAGAGAAAAATTTAAAAAAAACCCTATCCTACCCTAATTTACCTTATCCTAAACGTCTTTACCTTACCCTACACAATACCTTCTATTTACTCAAAACTTAAAACTCTCAGCTGCCATTTTACAATAAACATTTTCAGTTCTTCACGATACCCACGGCTTTGTTTTGATCGGATTGGGTTTCCTGGTAGCCTTCTTGAGACGGTACGGATTCTCGGCTTTGGCCATCAACTTGTTGTTGGTTGCCTTTGTCCTAGAATGGGGACTGATCATCAGAGGATTCTTGAGCCCCGAATTCAGCCAACACTCGTTCTTCAGCGTGGGATTGAAGGAGTAAGTTTATCCTTGTTTTAGACAAAGGTCTATACCTCTAAAAAGAAATTTTTGAGCGAGTTTTTTATTTTTGAGTTTTTCTACCAATACATTTGGGCTTAAAAAGACTTTAATTTTCATTTAACAACCAAATTTTAATATTTTTCAGAATCGCCAAGGCCGACTACACCGCCGCCGCCGTCCTCATCTCGTACGGAGCTTTGGTGGGCAAACTCTCCCCCATCCAATACCTGTTCCTGGCCTTCCTCGAGACCCCTCTCTCTATTGTCAACGAGTTCATCCTCTTCGGTCTCCTTGGCGTCGGTGATGTTGGTGGCTCCATTGTAGTCCATCTATTCGGAGCTGTGTTTGGTTTGGCTGTGGCTAGAATCGTGTTCAAGCCTTCTCAAATCCAGTCCGAGCATCAGGGCTCCATTTACCACAGCGACATCTTCTCCTTCGTGGGAACGGTGTTCTTGTGGGCGTTCTGGCCTAGCTTCAACTCCATCTTCGCTTTGTCGGCCGCTGAACAACAACGAGCCATCATCACGACCTTCTTGGCCTTGTTGGGATCGACTGTCACCACTTTCTTGTTCTCTCAGTTGTTGAACAAAGAGGTAGGTATCAGTTATATGGTTGTGTTACTTTACTATGTGTTTTTACATGTTACCTATAAAACAATAGTAGCTACCTTCATATCGTTGCAACAACTAAAAAAAACATTTAAACTGTAGCAAAAGTAGCCTAAAAGACGTCAAATCATGGCTAATAAAACGAAATTCTCTTCACGGGTTCAAAACTAATTTTATGCCACGGTAAAACCTGTTTTACCGCACACAGTGGGTAATTACTGCTTAAATAGCTACCGCCTGACCTTAACGTAACCTTCAAAGTCAACAAAAAGTTTCAGCAAATTAGAATAGATGTGATAATCATTATGAAATGTTTCGAAAATAACAAAAACATCATGTTAAAGTAAACCACAACTTTTAAATTTAATATATTAGAGCTAGATTACTTAGATATAGTCGTAGTAGTAACTACTGGCATAGTCATAATAGTAGCAATTGCCTATAGGAGTAATACTACCTACTGGCTATAGTCATAGCAACCTCTGAAAGTCATTAGAAAGGCTTAATAGAGCTAGGTAAAATATTTGTAGGTAACAAATTCCAAAAAAACTAACTTCTACATACTTTCAGAAGCGCTTCAACTTCAAACACATTGCCAGTGCCACGTTGTCTGGCGGTGTTGCTACTGGAGCCGTTGCCACTTTGGTATTGTCCCCATTGGCTGCTCTGTTGATCGGTGTTGTCGCTGCCATCATATCCGTTCTCGGCTTCAATATCATCACTGTAAGTTGATACCTATAACTCAATATAAAATATCTCAACTTCTTTCACAACAATAGACTATACTTGCTTTAAATACCTTGAAGTTAGTACTTTTATACCTAAAATTCAAATTTCAGCCCCTCCTCGCCCACAAACTCGGAGTGCACGACACTCGTGGCGTCTTCTCGCTTCACGGTCTCCCCGGAATTGTCGGTGGACTGGCCTCAGTCATTCTGTTGTTCTTGACTCCAACTGAAGTGTTTGGAGAAACCATCCGCAACATCTACCCCTTCCATAAGACCGACTCCAAGGACGGTCGTACTCCCGCCGAACAAGCCCTCTTCCAGTTGGCCGGTCTTGGAATTACCATTCTGTTCGCTTTGGTCACTGGTGTCATCACTGGTAAGTTAATGTTGGTTTGAGGATGCTCATGAGCAGGATATTAATATAAGTTGTCATATAACTTACCTCATTTTTAAGATTTTCAAATAATTCTGTACCCTTTTTAGGCGTGATTCTCCGTTTGAAAATCTGGCGCCAAGTCCGTGAAAAAGAGAACTACAGCGACACCGACTTCTTCGATGTCCCAGAAGACTTTGACTTCACCACCAGGGTAAGTGAATCAATCTTGAAGGACTTTTTGGCATGATCAATATATTCTTTGCTTAAAAAGTTTTCTTGCAACAATGAAGATTAGAAAAGTTGGATATATTTATTGACCTAAATATGACCAACTTTGTCAAAAAACGTTTAAATATTGGGATGTTCAAAAAATTCTGCGCCCCACCCCAAATTTGCTTTGAAACGCAGAATTATTTGAACAACCTAACATTTCTAACACAATGTTTTTTTATAATTAAAAATCTTCAGGTGACCAGCCACATTGAGCGCGTCGAACTGACCGAACACACCGAGCGCACCAAGCTCACCAACAACGAATACACCAACTAAACCCCCCTTAAGCTTTAAACGCCGCTTCCCCTTATTAATGCATTTGGGCGAGTTTTTGAGTTCAAAGTTTTGAATTCGCTTCGAACCGGTTAAAAATGTCCCCATTCTTTCAACCTTCGAAACGTAGGGTTAAGCATAGCCTGAGGCCTTTGGTCTGGGTATGTTAGTCTAGCCAACTCTACGATAGTCTTAATTTGGAGTCGAGCCGAGACAAAACTTTCAAAAACCGCGTAATCTTCGACCAGTTTTACTAGTTTTTACAGTAGTCAGTGATTTTTTACAGTAGTAGTGATGTTACAGTAGTCAGTAGTGCTGTTTATTACGGTAGATTACAGTAGTAATGTGATGTACAGAGTAGAGTACATTATATTTTGTACATTAAACTTCACGATTAACGTTTTCCGCCGTATTCTACAATACTCTGTCATCTACCGTACTGTTCAGCATTAATACTATTTACTTTACGTTACAGTACTACTTGTAAAAGTAACGCTATTGTTACTTTTTTACAACTTTTTAAGTATTTTTACCTTTGCACTACCCTCTACAGTATTTTGTGTTCTTGTCAGCTAACTTTACAGTATTTTACTCGTATTTTCGTAGTATGTTTTGGGTTGATTTTACTGTACTTTCTTCTCAAACAATCTGACTAATGGTCAAGGAGTAGCCTCACTAACCAGTACCGTTTTTTTGGTACAGGCTATGATTACAGTAATCTTTTTTGTCCAAAAACCCAATACAGTACCCAGCCCAAACTACTGTGAAAACCGTTAGTTTTTTTTGCGTTTTTACCTCATTAAAGCGGAAAATCTGCAAAAACGCGAAACAAAACTGTTTTAAATCCTCTTTCCTATTAATCTGCCCTGAATCTGTAAACGAAACATCGATGTAATTACCTACATCCTCTAATAATCAACAAAAGCTTATCAGTCTCTGGTTTAGAAAACTTTTTTTTTGCTTATCTGTAACAAATTTTATGGTAATAAACTTTTCGAAAAATTGAGGTTTGTTATGGCATCGTAAAATGTAAAATATGACTTTTTTTTACACATTAAAGTTTATATTACATTTCATTTTATGAACATTTAGATATCAGACGACAGAAATAAAAAACATTTTTGAATTTCAATCTTCGTCTGATTTTTGAAAATTTGCTGAGTCATGGCTCATTATTTTTTGAACAACCTAATACAAACAAAGTAAAAAGCTCATATAAAAACTGTTAATATTGTGGTATCTTACCATATAACCCAAAGTTCGAAAGATTAATTTTAAAACTGATAACAATATAATTTATTTTGAAAATGACCAGATACTTTGAAATAACTTAAAATAATATAAATATGGATACTCTAGATATAGTTCAGTCTAAGTAATATTAGATTGTTCAATTAGTTCTGTGTCCCCTCCCACAAACAAATTTTTGGAGTTATGGAGCACATAATTATTTGAACAATCCAATAGTTCACTTAATCATACAAAGTAGATATCACTATAACCAAAAAAAGTAGGTGATATCACTACTAATCATACAAAACAGCTGATATCTCTCCGACAATGTTGACCTCGCGACCTTTGTACAACTCTGATATGGCATCTTCTACTTGTGATTGAAGTTCTCTGGCTGAATCGCATAATGTTTCCACGGCTTCTGAATCCCTGGCAATTTGTTCGACCAATTCTGTTTGTTTTTCGTTTGATAAGCGCTCGATCTGCTTGTATTTGCCTTCTTGTTTCCGTTTTTGATCCAATTGGTTGACCAGGTTGTCCACGTAGCTAAAAAATATCGTTTTTAGATAACAAAAATCGAGTAGTGCATTAATCGTCATATATACCAAAGCCTTTCTTTCAACAATCGTCCCGTTTAATACACTACTCTATCTTCACCATACTCTAACCGTAGTTTAACTCATTTATAGCTTAACCCAACCATATCATACCCTAACACAAAACTTACCCTGGAGCAGCTCGTATTTTAGCCAGATGCCGCGTCAGCGGGTCGTTAACTTGTTTCCTGAACCCTTCTAATGCCGTTTTCCATTTAATTAACTGTTCCACAGTTACCGACTCTATATCATTAGGCTTGTTTATTAGACTGGCAATGTAAACTTGAGCTGGATCCGATGCATCTTCATCTTGGATTCGAAACTGCAGGAATACAAGCAGCTAAAACAAGAAGAATCAGATTTTTTTTAAAAAATTAAATTTTAAAACTGAAAGAGACCCGTACCAAAAGATAAAAACAAAAAATCTAAAATACATAAAGTTAAGACTGATCTAACTAATATAGCAAATTATTATCTCCTTACCTCTTCAACGTTCCCTTGAAGAATCTGAAAAACTTCTTGATGTTCGAAAATAGAAAACGCGTTCTCGAATCTAGCTATACCATCATCTACTTCTTGAGGCAGATCTTGTATAATACCTAAAATTACTTCTATATTTATTAAAAATAACTTATGTTTTGATTTATATTACACTATAAAAACAATACTTTTTAACAATAACTTCGTTTTAAAGTAAGTAATTTAGTTATAAAAGAATAAAACTTTAAACAATTTTTTTAAAATCATATCGCACCTGTGTCATCACCAACAACCTCTATATCTATGCCGTCTCCATAGTCTATTTCTCCTGAATCTCCGCCAAAATCAATGTCATCTCCAAAGTCAATCTCGTCATCATCTAACTCCTGAAACAATATAGTTACAAAAACAATTTAACTTGCTTACAACTTTCTTAATTGATTTCAGTATAACATAAAACTATAAATCTACACTTTAAAACACAAAGGCTTACCTTTTCATCTTCATCCAAGTCAATCCTCTTGATCTCCGTAGGTTCTTTCCCATTTTTCCATTCATAAACAGTAAAATCAGCACCTTTTTCAGCCAGTTTCTTCAACAAATCCATCTTCTGAACATCCCCAACTTCATTATATTGTTGTAGACTCTCAAAATATTCAATTGCCTTCAAAAATTGACTCGATTCCTTTGCCAAACTATTAAATTTAGCTGGCAAATCCTTAGCCAAGTCCAGTAGTTCCTTCTTCACCTTGTCTCCCTTTATATTAAACCTCTTCAGCTCTCTGTGATAAGCGTTTCGAGCATCTTCAGCTTGTTTAGCAGCGTCGGTTTCCCTTTTCTGAGCTTCTTTGATCTGATTCTCGGCTTTTTGATTACTCCTCCTTAGCGCTGGGATTTCATATTGTACAAGACGTTGAAGAATCTGAGCGGATTCAGCTAAATACACGTTGTTTTTGGAGTAGAGGTCAACAATTTCTTGCCAATCCTTCATACGCTGAGAAGAATAGAATCCAAAAACATTTTTGGAGTCTTTTTCGGTTTCTTTTAGTATGTCGACAATCTCTTTGCAATGGAAATAGTTTATACCTGAATTCGATATATTATTGACATAACTTTATTATTGTAAGTATATAGTACTAAACATAACAAAAAAAGAAGCTAAACATTCACCTCGTTAAACAATGTTCAAAGTTTCATCATCTTGAAACCTAAAGCAAGAAAAACAAAGCAAAACACTCACTTCCACCTCGTAATAGCTCCAGAATCCTCTCATTCTCAGGCATATCCAAAATAGCATGTTTAATCTTCTCCCTGATGTCCGTACTCTTCTTTATCCAGTCGTTTTGACCATGTCTTCGACTGATAAGCCAGTCTAAAACATTATTTTATCAATTGCTATCAGAAAACCATCAAAATAAGCCCAAAAACAAAGTGAAACATCAATAATAATGTAAAATACATAAGATATTACCTAAAAGCTTGTTACTGTGTATGTCAATAGCCAATTGATCCATTATTTACAACAAAAAACAATTATTTTATCTTTTCTTTCTATAATTTGCAATATTTTTCCGTGAACGTGTTTATTTCGTTATGCCACAAGCATTTGTTTTCGTGATGGTACCAATTAGACAAAGGAGTGTTCACAAGATATTGCGAAAACTCTTGTTTTCGAATAGTAAAACGGCCAAAAAGTAAAATTAATAACTTTTAAAACTATTTTCAAAAAAAATTACTTTGTCAAGTTGCCAATTTGGCAGTTTTCTGTTATTCATGCTCATTTCTAAATTCCACTACGAATCCGTGTGGTCGCATTTACTGTTTCGTTTGGATCCCTTCGAACTTTATCTAATTGTCAGCACAGGATGATGATATGTGTGGTACTACTAACCCATCTGTTCGTTATCAGTGGAGTTTTGTATTTTTGTGCGAAAGAAGCGGCCGCAAAGCCATCGGCGAAGAAATCTAACAAAGAGAAGTCGACGATGAAGAAGGCGGACGATAAGACGGAAGAAGACGGTCCCAAGAAGAAGAAGGCAAGCATTGCTACACCTGTTGAGGGTACTCCAGGTAGTAAACGAGTAAGTTTGAGGTTGTATTCGATAATATTGACCTTATATTATAGTAGGTAACAACTGATGTTGTAGTCGGTAGTATCAGCTATAAAATATTTATTGTAAGCTTGATTTTGTAGTAGGACTTTAATATTATTGTATTTAGTATTTTTATTGATATGTAGTGATTCTGGAGCTTCGTATTCGTGTAACATTTGCTTTTCAGGGAAACGATGATGGTGAATACGAAGAGAATGAGAATCCAGAAGAAGCGATTGAAGTGAAAACAGTCGGAGACAAGACCGTGTATCTGAAGGACGGCAAGGTGGTCAAAGTGGAGAAAGGCGACAAAACGGCCGACACCAAAAGTTCAACTTGAATTTGTTTTCTCTTGATATATGTGGATAAACTTTTTGATTTTATCGTTTTTTAGCCTGGTAACATTATCGTGGTTAGCTTAAAGTAGCATGTATAAAATGGACTTGTAGGTCTATCCGAGTAGCGTAACCTTTGGCTTCTGCAAGGGCAGTCTTACTAGGTACTTTCTTATCCATAACCTTATTCCGTATTATTTTTTACCTATTTTCTTTCATTTTTAACTGCTAGCTCTGTTAGCTTTACAATATCATGCCCATTATAGAAAAAAACTGATCGGAAGTATCCCAAAAGTCAATTCTTATTAACAGTTTTCACGGAAATCGTGATAAAAACCGTGAAAAACAGAAAAAGACCTTAGGTCAGAAGAGCGATAGATTGATTATGACATATTGTAACTGTATGATGTATTGTAGATACAAAATACAGTCAACTAGAAAGTGAATTGCAATATAAAGAATGAAGTTATATTGCAATGTTATCCTTCCCTTTCATCAAGGTTTGATGATATTATTATAGTTTTGATGCAATTCGACGACGAATTTCGTTTGTTTTTCGATTGAAACGAGATCTCTACTTTGTGGTTTGACAAACGGCTTTTGGTTTCTATATAAGTGAACAATAACATGGCTACGAGCATAGTTTGACCGTAGCTCAGGTGTTATTAATGGCGTTGAAAGTTGGGTTTTTAGCGATGAAATTGAGCCTGGACTTTGGTGGTTTTTGATATTTAGGTAAAGAGCAGAGGTTAAGTTATATTCTATTTGATGAACCAAATTTAATGTAGGTAGAGCATTGTAGGATAAGATAAGGTATGGTACAGTAAGGTAAAATAATGTAGAGTAGAGTAGGGCAGCAGGGTAAAGTAAGGTAGAAAAAATGTTTTTAGTGTTTGTTTATTGGAAATAAACGATTGAACTCAAAATTATTGACGAATCGTTGCAATTTGTCAATGAAAACTGCTTTAATAATCGAGCTTTAGTCTTGTTACAATAACTTGGGCGGATCACGTGTGGTTATTAAACTGAATTAGCGCCTTCATATTCTGCTTGTTTATTGTATTAGACGGCTGGCTATTTTACAGTTTGATCCATTTTGAATATTTAAAAATAAAATCTTTAAAAAAGTGGCGGAATCAGTGGGGGCTAGATCTGAACTGGGGGCTTACTACTAGGCCCGGTTTCTTTACAAGTCTAGTCTGGGGAGGTTATTTCAGGAGATAAGGATAGGCATTTGGCAGTAATGTAAATTTAGCTTCTAGATAGTATTGGGGGAAAGGTGGAACTGTAGGAATAACAAATTTTTAATTTGTATAGATTATAATATCGTGTTCATGTTTACAAAAATATTTTAAAAGTAAACTTTTTATTGTTAGCGTAATGGCAATCCCTTCGGAAGTCATTGAAACCGTGTCATATCAACTTCCAGAGCTTAAGATAACTAATGCTTTGTTAATAAGTGAGGATGACGTTTCGATACCGTAAGTAATTTTTCAAAGAAATTTAAATTGCATCACAGTTAATAGTAGAGCTGATTGCTTTGGTCTTGGGAGAGGTTTTTGTAAAAGTGCTGGGTAGGGCTTGTGGGTCTTGTTCCGGGCCTACTAGGGGATTTTTAACTTAATTTTTTTATTTTAAAAGGATTTAAACAGTAATCCTTCCAGAAACGTACCAGAAGCCGCGAAAGTACGTGGAGTTACAGTCGAAGAGTTGAAGAATGTAGAAGCCGATTCACATGAACTCGTCATTATTAACCGGCTATCTGCTGGTGAGGTGAGTAGTCTTCCTCTTATTGAGATACTATGTACATATTGTGTTACGACATATGTTACATTAAAAATTCTCTATAAAAAAATGTCTGTGAAGCGAACAACTTTTAAATCTCTGGTTAACACTACAAAGTGCATCTACAAATTCTGTATAACGAAAACCTTATATAAGGAAAAAATTTAAAATTTCATAAAAATTTGTTATACAGGAGTTCTGCCATATAATACAGTATTTAAAAAAATTTTTTTTAGACACACAAGCAAAATCTGGATAAAATTCTTCAAAATTCGTTGAGAATTCTTAAAACTGACGGTGTTGTTGTAGCTTACGAAGACTTTGGTAAGTTTTTTTTACTTTGCTGTTAGTTTTAGGCTTTTACCTTTTACAACGTGATACTCGGTTGATTTATAAGTTTTATAAGAAAATAGTTATGGATATCTTCAGAAAATGTGACATACCAAGAAGTTGGAAGCCTATCAACTTTATTTGACAGTTTCGAGAGCAAGGAAAATGGAAATTCAGCTAGCTTCAAGTTATTGGCTATGAATCAGACTTCGGTAGGTCTAAATGGCACATTTTTGAAATTTTATGGATTTAAGTTACTTATATTATACAGTTTCCAAGTTTAAAATTTCTTGTTTTGAAGCTGTTGAGAATATCTTACAGTATACTTTTTTCAAATACTTTTTCATTTTATAAATTTTTAAACAATTTTCAGGAGCAAACTTCAGAAGGTGTCTACTGGATAATGACCAAATACACAGCTTCAGATGACGAAAACATGGTATTTCGTTCATTCCTAGACCATACTCAATATGTACCCGAGAACATTGAAGCCTACGAATGGATCTTCGGCCGTGAATTCATTAGTCCTGGTGGCGTGAACATGAATCGTCGTGTGTTTTCTGAATTCGACGATCTTGAACCTGGAAAGAAGATGTTAGACATTGGCAGTGGACTGGGTGGCAGTGTCAGACAGATCGCGAGAGATGTCGGCTTGAAGGTAACAGCGTGTGATATCAGTGCTAACATGATGGCATTGGGAATTCTGAGGCATAGACAACGACCGGTTGATGGAGTGACATATATGTTGGCTGATGTCATGAGGTACAAGTTCAAGCCGGAGAGCTTTGATTATGTGTATACCAAGGATTGTATACATCACATTTTTGATCTGCCTGCGCTTCTGACCAAGATCAGGGTGAGTATGATATTATAATACGAAGTCATTCGATTGGGATAAGAGAGGGCGGGAGGGCAGGGTAGGGTAAGTTGGGTAATACGCAGAGTAGAATGTGGTAGATTTATTCTATCTTTTTGACTTTTGTTTTCTTACTGTATCTTAATTTTCAGGAAATCCTAAAGCCAGGTGGTCAACTAATCATCACGATGTATGGTAGAGGCTACGGACCGTTCACTGAAGAATTTAAGGAGTTTGTCAACTCAAGGCGGTACTATTTGAATACGGTAGAAGAGATGGAAGAGAAAGCCAAGAATGCTGGATTCTCAGAAGTCGAAGCCACGAATATTACTCCAATGTTCAAGGAATGGCTGGAGAAGGAACGGAACAGAGCTATCATGTACAAGGACGAGTTTTTGAAGGTACGGTAACTATCCTAAAAATGATTGAAGGTGGTTAAGATATTAAAAAAGTTTTGGCGTTTTTTCCTGTTTAAAGCTATGAAGATTGACGACAAGACTTTTGTGCCACTTTTATGTGAACGTTTTTAATTGTTTTACAAATTTTTAAATTTTGGTATGTATGTCAACTTTACTTTAAAATTAACTTTAATGTTTTAGAACTGGTCAGAGAAGAAGTACAACAGTTTGTTCGATGGGTGGACTCAAAAGCTGGACTTTATCAAGGCTGACAATCACAACTGGCTTAAAATTAAATGTACAAAATAGGCAGTATATAATAATTGTATTTTTGAAAAATAAAAATTTTTCTTTTGTTTTTTTACTTTATTAAATTTTTTTTCGGAGAAGGTATTTTAACAATCGTGCTTCAGCATGTCTTATTAAAAGTTTAGTTCAACTTTTAATGAGATAGATATTTAAAATGTCTTTGAACTACTAATAATTGCCGTAGTATAAACTTGAGTTGAAGTTGTATTTGGCAGATTAGTAGATTCTGGTTCTTCTGTGCATTTTTCTTCACATTGTAATGGGACATAACTTTGCTGGGCAATATTGAGGTTTATACCGTTTTGAATAGTATCATAACATTTGGAACAGAAAGTGTTGTTTTCTGACTTCTAAAAAATAATTAAGAGTTACATTTCATTAAACATGAACCAGTCAGACTATAGCATTTAACTGACCAGCATTTTTTTAATTTGGTTTGTTTTACACTTTCCGCGAATCAAATTTTTCGTCGCGGGACCTAAGGTCGGCTTTTGGGGCCTTTGTTTAGGCCGGTCTTCGCGCTTACCTGACCCGCCTAAGCCAAGCCTAGTGAGTCTTTTTTTAGGCTAGAGTATAACAGTGAAATTCTTCTCTTACACGGTATGGCATAATAATATATTTACCCTATTCTATCTCTTTTATACTTGGCTGCTACATCAACTACACTTACACACTTTTTTGCCTCTCCGCCATAAATAAAAGCTTGTTCTTGTAGAACCAAATCTCTTTCATTTTGGTCTGGATAAAGTTGAAAATCAGCTTCCGTGTTTCTTTTTGCACTTTCACATTCTTCAGAGTATGGGCTACAAGACGCAGTAAGTAACACGATATGCATGATCAAAAAATATCTTGGCAGCATTTTTCAAACTTTAATTGTAGGAAAAGAATGGCAGTGTAGGCAAAATCAGTTCCTGTCATCTTGTAATATGACAAAATTTATGTGTAGTAGTATGACAAGGTTTGTATAAAGTATTATAAACAGCGTCGATACAATGTAATATGAAAATGAAAAGGACAATGTAAAGTAAAGTTTTAAATTACAATTGAATAGATCTTTTGTTACATCTTGTTAATAGTATTGAACAGAAAATTTTAAATAGCATTTTAATGTAAATTTAATTATTAATTTTTTTAGCTGAAAAGTGAAGGTTTATTTCTTTATGAATCACTTACAAACGCAATACTTTTTGTTGTTAAATCACAGTCAAGATAGACGGGCAAATAAACGTGAACAAAGGCCCACTAGGCCCGGTTCCTTTATAAATTTTAAAAATCAACAGACCCTTAGACCTAAAAGGGACCTACTAGGTCCGGCTATACTTTGGCCCGGTCTCGGGCTAAGCCAAGACAAGCCGAAGCAAATTTAAAAAAAGGCCGGTCCGGCCCGGCACACGTAGACTCGAGGCCCGAGGCCCAAACCAACTCTCCAGGAGCCCAGCTTAAATCTGGGCGGAAAATTGGGCCCGGCCTATCCTCTTTGCAGATCTACAGGCCATTGTTCAACTTTAAAAAAAATTTTTTTTGGAGTGGTGGAGGAAGAACAGAGTAGTGAGGGTATCACCTTCAAACTACATCCTCTTCTACTCGAGCCAAATCATTATCGTTGTATGAAAAAACTCATCGAGATAACCAATTGCAAAAATACTCACATGCCAAAAAATATTTTTAAAAAGTACAAATTTAAAAAATTTGCATAAATTGCAAAACCAAAACTTCAAATTTGCCATTTTCTTCCTTCAGCCATTCATCTTTTTACCTCAGCAGTCGGCGGTGTGTCCGTTTTGATTCGCAGTACTAGTTTGCCATTATGTCAAGTTCAAATGAACGAAGCCAGAGCTCCAAGCCGGGAAGCAAGCCCACGTAAGTTTATAGGTTTACTTACTGTTGAAATTTTATACGAGTTTTAAAAATTGTCATTAAACAAACATTTTTATTAAAAACAATTAATTAAAAAATCTGGCCATTCTAGAGCACTACAAACCAAAGAATCAGGAGCCAAGAAGGGTATATTTGCTCTTTTTCGGTATAAAAACATAAAGACTACCGAGTATCCGCACTTGTTGGTGTCCGACCGTGACTTCCTCGAAGGCTTCCAGAAGGCGTTGTTGGATATGCTCATCAACGTTTGTTCGTCCATTCAACCAAGCTCCGAGTTCATAACTGATGTTGAAAGAATGCACTTTGAATATCCTGAAGGTAGGAGTCCGTTCAAGGAGGTTCATGAACTTTTCAAAGAAGCCCAAGTTCATTACGATTTCCCGGTAAGAATTTTAGGCTTAAAAATTTAAAATTTTTTTGTTAAGTTATTGAAATAAACCAATTTTTATATTAAATTTTGATTTTTTAGCAAAAACATTTAGTATTAGCTCATAGCCCTGAAGTGTTAGAGTCATAAAATAGTAGTTAAAATTTACTTTTAGGCTTTTCTTGACAATGCAGAAAGAATCAAAACAATGTGGTCAAAGCTGACTACTACACATAAGTCGTTTCATACGATGGTCAAGAATGACTTCACTAAAAGTCGCGAGTTTTTGGTTGAAACATATCCTGCGATCAACACAGCTTTCAAAGGTAAGTCATGTTTTTTACCCTACCCTACTTTGCCCAGCTTCACTCTAGTCTGCCTTGTTATACCCTGCCTTATCCTTCCCTACCGGACCTCACTCATCCTTACCCTATCCTACCCTAATTGAACTCTTATTACAATTTTTAAATAATTCAGACTTGGATACAGCTCGCTTCAAACTGGACACAGCTAACCACGATCTCAAGAATGCAAAGAACGAAGAGGTGCGCATTACTCGAAAGAAAACAGCTGATGACAACAAGGCTTCATACGATAAAACCCTTACTAACACTACGGAGCTGACTTTGCAAGGTTTCAAACCGCGACTGTATATTGCAATCGAAGCCACCAAGTTCATTTCCCTCTACAAGAGAGCTCATAGGCTAATGTTTGAGGCGGTTCAGGAAGGAAGAAACTCGAAACGTTGCACTTGCAAGTTCTGTGCCTCTAGTAAATGATGTATTATGCTGAATTTGCACTCAATAAAGGTTTTATTGCTGAAAATTGGGAAGTGGTTAATGTAGAACGGTGGATTTGATTTGGGATGAAAAGGGGTAGATATTATGTTTAAGTTTGTTTGGCGGCAGTAGCTTCTACCCTAGTTTTGGCAGTGTTAAACATCTATTACTTTCTTACAACGTCTCCGACCAAATACGTACTCAACGTTTTATGTTGTGCAAAATTTGCATGCGCCATAACAATTAAAGTGTGAGTAAAAACGATTAAAATCTGAGCAAAGTGCACTAACCAAGCTTTTCGACCGCAGAGCTGAGGTTTCTATTCCCAAAGCCAAAATTATTGTCTCTGAAAGTCCATTGAGTCTTATGCGATCATAGTTCAACAAAATGACATTAGCACCGGCAAAAACCCACTCATTCCGAGTTTATGGAGTTTATAATAGACGGCCGATGTTATACTTGGAAACAGCGACTAATTGTTAGTATTTCCACGTTTCGACTGTGGAACTGATATTGCACGGAACCGGAAACATTAAACAGTTTAACGAGCCTTATTAAAAGAGCAAGAGCTATTTTGAGCAATAGTGAGGTTGCAAAAAGTAAAGGGTAACATTGATATACTGCAGTTATGGTTTTTTAGTTAAGATTTTTGTTTTTGCTAGCTTTTAAGAATGTTTCTAACACGTTTTAGTACAGATATTAGATAACACATAGTTTTTATTGCTAGAGATGTGTTTAATATCAAGGTAAAGCTTTTTTTAATTATCGAAAAGGTAACTTTGATTTTTTTTTCAATTCTACGTTACGAAACTTATACCACATCCATAAGGAAATTGATTCTTTTTCTATCTTCACGGTCCTAACACAGTCATCAGGACAAATGGTTCACTAATTGTAATCGACTTATCGTTTTACAACAAACCGTCTGAAAGCGAGATTAAACCCTCGATCAATTCACTTTTATGACACTTCAGGTAATTTACTGTCATTTTGTGAAATCGAGATTGTGTTTTGTGTAATCTGTTTACAATGTAGATGTTTGTTCGTTCTAATAAATTTTTATTAATTTCTATAATGGAATGTGTAGAAGGTGGCATCGGATGTGGTGTATGAGATCTCTGTCGTAATCACTGTTTCAAAGACAACAATATGTGAGAAGTTGGGGCAATTAAAGTTATTAATGAATTGCTTTTGAAGTAAACGTACAATAGTACTGTAATGACAATAGGTAACGTTTTTGTGACGCACATATAAGACAATACACTACGTAATTATTATGAACTGTAAAGAAGATGAAGAAGGAAATGAGTTTATACCAAAGAAGCTTTCTGCAATTCTAATATATTTATTTAAAAAAAGAAGATTTCATAGTTCTTATAACAGATATTCTATTCTAAACGCATTTTTTAAATTTACAAGATTTTTGAAGTAAACGTTTTGATAGAACTTTTTGCACTTTGTTCATCTTTCTTCCAGCTTTATTGACGTGCTATATTTGATTGGTAATATTCCGCTTTTTTTTAAATTTAAAACCTAGACTTATTTTTCAAAAACCTAAACTAAAACAATATTGAAGTGTAACGCAAATATTTATATTTTTACATAAACGTTTAGAAAATAATAAAAATAGATGGATCCACCCCCCCCAGAGCTGATCCGAAAAAAATTCCACAGTTAGGTACCAGTACACGAAAAATCGAAAAAAATTTTTTTGAAAAATTGGTCCACAGGGTACCTGTGGACCAAAAAAAAATTCTTTAGGTCTCCACCACCTCCCCCCCCCCCCAGAAAAAATCCGTAGCGACACCCCTGGCTAGGTCTCCATAATATCTTCCCAAGCTGATAATTTTATGTAACTTTTTCAATCGAAGCTACAAATATATAGTATCGAACACAAAAAATTCCATGCGAAAAAAATATTGACCCATTTTTAGATTTTTCTTTCTTGGCCATTTCTTGCTTGGGGCGGAAAATCTAAGTTGATCGTTGCGAGACCCAGAGAGGAAGCGGATGTAAAGAAATTTTTTTACTTTTTATATTTTTACTTGTTGTTTTTTACGTTTGGCAAAGTAATGTTAAGAAAAAAATGCTTTTTAGAATATTTTTTGTTAATTTGTAAAAATCAAAATTTTTATTTTAAAGTCAAAGTCTAAATCTAAAATAAAAGTTTATAATTGCTTTCACGCTAGTCTGACTACAATTTAAAATTTTTCATACTACAGTTGACGTGTATTTACTTTAAGTCGCATACAGTTGTTTGTCCTGAACATGCACAAACAACTAATTAATGTTTAAAGTCTTTGGTGCAGAACTTAACCTTGTTATAAATCGGTGGCAATTGAATCATATTTTATAAATTTTATATAATTTACAAGTGTTTACCCTGTGCCCTAATGCCATTACCGCAATCGACCAAAAGCCATTCAATTACAAGATTTAATTTAATTTTTTATTACAACTATACAATTACAACTATTACTTAACAATGGTGGATTAAATAAGATAATGAATAAGACCCGTTTTGATTTGGATTTGACTAATTTGTATATAGTTAAAGCAGACCATAGTGATAAGGTAACTAAAATACGTTTAGGGACACAACAACAATATATAATAGTGGCTAAATTGAAACAAAATATTAATGGCTAGGTTACAGTAAGATATTAATGGCTAAACAGTGAGTAATGGTCAACTTACAATAAGATACATAATAATAACTAAGATAAAACAAGATGTAGGTTAACAAAATGAAGGCTTCTGTAACAAAATACATATGTTGAAGGCTACAATAACAAGGTTCTAACAATAAAGACAGTGTTTATGTTTGTTTTTTGTAACATGTTTTCAGAATAATTCAGGAACTTAATTTACAAAGGCCATGAGCGAAAGGCAAGAAGTGGAAGTTCTGTGTAACATGGCTAATATAATAAGTTAAAATACAACGCTCATAGCCTGACATATAAAACCTAATGGGTATAGCGCTCGATTTGAGTATTTAGTAAGGTACTATTAACTAGTATGGTACGTAGAGAAAAGTTTGTACTACTACCTAACAGGAACAGTACCAAATTAGTAATCGTACGAGCTGGAGTTAACTAGTCTAAGTGGGGTATACAAGTGGTTTATCCTCCTCCGTACCAACTCCATATCCTCGTTGAAGTAGTCGCATTTACAAGTAGGGTAGTTGCAGCACGGTACTAGATGTTTTTGCCAGTCACCCAATTGTTGAGGTACATCTTCTATTGTCGCTTTGTGTTGTTCTCTGATTACGTCAACAGTCTCTAATAGGGTTGGTGGTACTTGATTGCCTGGTAGTTCGTACATTTCGAAGGGATCACGTGACAGATCGTACACAAGTGGAGGATCGTGCTTTTCCAGTTGGTCCTCAGGGCACGTTTGGGATATGTACCTGCAAATTGAAAGAGTAAGTAAAGGGTCGTATATTGATAAAATTTTGATCACTTTTATTTGCTTATTCTTTTACATCATGATATAACACTAATAACTTGTACCCTAGTACCAGACCGTAACTATATCGAGAGTATAACCCTACCCCCTCCTCCCACAGTACATCCTACCGTAAACTTTCCAGCTCAATAGATCATATTTAAAGCCGTTTATAACTAGACCTAAAAATAGGCCAAAAGATGGAGGCGGACTAAATTAAGCGTTTATTCAATGCACTTGCAAATTATAGTACGTGGCTTTATAAAGTTTCCATGAGTCTACGGTAACCCAGGTTGTCTTATTGTCAAGACTTTTGCAAAAAAGCTTTGTCTATGTAATTTGAGAAAATTGGCATAGTTTACATAAAAAACGTCATCTCGCCTATATTATAGCAAATGTCAATATTGACAAAAATCTGTCATTTTCCAAAAAGCCTATTCTTAACTTTCATTTTACGTATATAAATGGTGGCATAATTGTTTTCCACGTTTTTCCTCAAAGTAATTTTATATGTCATATTTGTCCTCAATATGCTCTCAACTTTTTTCTTATTAAGATAAAGACCAAAAATATCAAAATTAAAAGGCATTTTACAAAGTCTTTAAAATCTTACCAGTCATCAACCGGCTTTCCTCCCGGGCAATTCTCCTTCAAGTTGGCATTAGTCGTGTAGTTTCGGAAGATGGGTGAGGTCATGTAGTGCACTTTGTATTCACCATATCGTATCGCCATCAGATGGGTGTTACAGTAGAAGAAGATGGGCCGTTTCTTGGCCAAATCCTTGCGTTTCTGTTTTTTGGTGTGTGGGTCGACGGGCGAGCCCCTTAGCTCGTACCAAACGTCAGTTCCGTCCAATTGCCCGTTCACTTCCGTATTGCTCTCGCCTAGTTCGGCTAGCTTTTTGAAGGTCGGGAACAGGTCCAAACTCCACAAAACCTCATGTGATACGTGGCCTGCACTCACGGTACCTGGCATCCATGTTACGAACGGGATTCTGAAGCCGCCTTCGAACGAGTTGGACTTGCCGCCTTTCAAGCCGGCCGTGCTTCCACCGTTATTGCACAGTTCTTGGTGCGGGCCGTGGTCGGACATGAATACGACAAGTGTTTCACGGTCGATTCCACGTGCTTTCAAGTCACTGATTACTTCGCCCACTGCCCACGCCATTTCGTTTACGTTGTCTCCGAACAGACCTAAAAAGTGGACGTCAAGTACAAGTTCGAAATAAAAAGAAAAAGGTCAAAAAGTCATTGCTTATGAATATAAAAGAACCAAAAAAGCATTTTGCGTTGTTTTTATGAAATTTAAACTCATTTTTAAGTTCTAAGTGGAGTTTTAAAAAATAAAGAATTATGCTATTATATAGTACTCTTACCTCTCCTCGACCGTCCTCTGAATATCCTGTTGGCAAACTGTGCTGAGTGAACGTGAGGGAATGAGAAGTAGAAGAAGAAGGGGTGTTCGGCCTTCTTGGTCATCTCCCACTCTTCCAAGAACATTCTCCAGTCGTTGACCAGATCTTCTGTCAAATTCTCGAAGCGAATTGGTTGCTGAACAATTTCGTCTTTATAGTATAGGAAACACTTGGCTGGTTCTGGTCCATTTGGTACAAAATCTCCACTTTCATCACATTCGTATACGTTGGTGAATGGGAGGTTGATACCGACATAGTCGAAGCCACGTTTCGATGGTAGGTATGCTCCATCTGTTCGGTTGTGTTTGTTGATGCCCAAGTGCCATTTTCCGATCATACCGGTGTGATAGCCTAGAAATAGGACAATATTATAATATATAATGCATATCGGTATTTTTGCTCTACTTTTAGTGCGAGAAGCCTAACCCTCTAACTAAACCAAAACATTTAATATCAAATTCAAGCGCAGTAATTGTCTAATGTCAAGGATAATGTCAAGTTATTTATAAATTACCTAATTTATTAAAATCTGCGTGCTGGAATAAAATATTATACTATACATTAATGTTTAATGTCATGTTTAATGCGTATGACAATTTAATGCCAACCATGTCTTACGCACTTTTAGCTCGTATTAATTATGCAAAAAGTTTTAAAAAATCTTAAAATTAAAAAAAATTATTGGAAACTACTAGCAAAAGTGATAAGAAAATTATATTTTAATGTTTTAGGTAACAAACAACTTTAAAAGTTTTTATAGTTTAGGTAACACACTGTTGAAAAAAGTAAACATACCTGCATTTTTGAGCATCTCAGCCATTGTAGGTTCGTGCTTTGGTAAACCACCAGAATCAGCAGCTACAAAAACTCGAGCTCCGCCAGTTACGCCGAGTCTGATTGGCAGACGGCCTAAAATCAGATTTGTTATGCTACAATAGAGTATAAAAAGTTATTATTAACCTATAGCAGTTAAGAAACTAATTTTCGAAAATTTAGGATTTTTTAAAAATCTCATCAACTCACCTGTCATGAAACCGGCACGAGAAGGCGAGCACATTGAATCAGCCGAGTACACATTCGTGAACCTCGTACCCTCGCTGATCATGTCATCTACCGGCGTCCATTCCTGTGTTGGGTTACCGTACCCGTTCAAATCACCGTATCCTAAATCGTCCACCATCAGCACAACGATGTTCGGTCGTTCCGGCGTGGCACCGATGTGATTTCGGGCGTGATTTGAACTTGTGGGTACTGATATTACACATGCTGTAAGCACGGCAAGCGCCGCAAACGCGCGTTTTGTCCACATTAAGTCTGATACAGTGTGCGTTGGTTGAGAACGTTGGTGCGTGGACTTGCGACAAAAACTCTTGTCTGATTTGCGTGTTTTGTTATGTCTGAAAGTGAGATTACGGTAATGGTAAAGTAAAAAAATAAAAATTCTGTAATCTACAAGACAGCAATGTTACTGTAGATGAACAGACGTATATAGTACAATAAGACTAAAATCTCTTCTTAAAGCAATTTTTAAAAATTTGCGCGCTATCGTCAATACGTAATTACTGTTATTTAAATACCCTAGTAGATGAACATCCCGTCATTTTTTAATGTTTTTATAGAAAAGTTTAAATTTTAGTTGTCAGATCATTTAATTATAAAACTACAGTAGCCTTACAACTTTAAAACAGCTTGCACATCTTTAAAAGAGATCAAACAACTTTTAAAAAAAGCTTACAATAAGAAGTTTCGAAACAATTCCATGAAACTACAGTAATCGCAAAGCGGCTGCCAAAACTTTTAATGCTTATAAACTTGTTTTGAGCAATTAGTAAAGTAAACAAGTAGCCAAAGAATTACAAAATCACTTTCGTTGATCAGAAAATATCATTGTATACATCAAAACATAAGGGGCAGTATTAAAGATGGCGTTGTAATAGTAGCCAGCTATATCAATTATTTTTCAGAAATAGCTGATATCGAAATGGCAATGCAGGTTTGGGTAGTTTAAAAGTTTTACGGAAAGTGTTCTTTAAAAGACTTTTGAAAGTACGATGGTGATCAAAAATTAAAGACAAATAAACGCCTTATCGGTCGCGGTAAAATCAGATAATGTTGCTTTTTTGCAACGTATATAAGAGAAAGATTTACATCATAATTAAAAATGGTCGAGAATACTAGCCTAATTATCAATTTTTTAAAATGTTATGACAATTATGATAAAAAAAGTAGAAATGTCATAAAAAATAAAAATTTAGGCCCAACCGAAGCCTCAGCCTACTACACTGCCAAAGCCATCTACAACCTACTATAACATCATGTTTATTAGCTAAATACAAAATCATGCGTAGTAGCCTACTACCACTTAATAATTGGCAGCCTACTACAACATAACGTTTAGCAAAATAACCCTGTGGCAAAACCTTATACTGGAACTACCAAACGACAAACATGTAAAACACATGTTGCCCGTAATTGTGGCCTACTGTGAACGTTGTGTTAACAATAACTGATAGCAAATTATTCGGAAGACATTAATTTAAATGTGCGAAACGGCCGCCCCTTTTGACCTTGGCCCCGGTTTGTTGGAGAGTGCCATAAACGGCCACGCCCCTGTTTTTTGCTTTTGCCAAATCCGGGCCCAATAAGCACGGTGTTGGCATCAAACACCAACAAACAAAAAGAACTGAATCCAGCTGTAATACTGTTACAATCTCCATCTCTACCGTATCGCCGTAGTCTATGTCATTCGTGTACTCTCACAGTTGTGTCCTTGCGCTCTCTTTGAGTTTGGTTGTGTTTTGTTTATCAGTTAAGCGGGAAGTTGAACGGGATGGTAAGAGGCAAAAGAACAGTGATTGGAGAAAGCTTGATTTGGAAAGAAAAGCTTATGGTAACTAGACAAACAATATTCTAGCAATGGAAGAAGGATAACCTCGATTAAAAAAAGGCCAAAAAATCAGTACAGCTACTTGTTTTGTAAAAAATCAGCAGAAGAGACCACGTTAAAACTTATAGTGATGAATAACTTTATTAATGTTGATGATAATTACTATTCGTTCTTATTATGCAAAAAAATTTTATGATGTTTGGGGGTCCGAAACTTTTTATCCATCTTAATACAAAGAGAGGAAAAGAATAAAAATAAAAAGATAAAAATTTTTTTTTAAAAAATTAAAAAGTATTTTTATTTACCTTATCCTTTGCCAATAAATCGGTCGAGTCTTTACCGTAAGTCTTTTACTTTCAAAACCTACAGTTAGTTTCAGAAAGGAAAAACCTTTGCCAGAATTTATCATTACACATTCATGATCAGAATTGCGATCAAACTAGAGTAAACGGTCACTGTCGTATTTTGATTAAATAATCTTATCTACGAATCGTTGGGTGCATGGTCTACAACGCATACATTTTTATCCGTTTTTTTTGCTCGTTGATTTGCAAATAAACTTAATATTTACATGTTTGGGTACATTAATTAGCTTCTTAGCATCGTAAACATTAGCTCTTAACTATAGTTTCAAACTACATTTTATAGTGTTTTTGGTCAAAGATTGTCTTGAACAACTCTTCAGATGCATACTACGATACAATTTATACCTATGAAGCTACTAATATGATGCTCAAAGCAAGGTTCAAACCTAAATGACATCTTTTTGCTTTACAATCTTGAAATGTCTAGCAATTAACTACTTTTTCCAAAATTGTATTAGCGGTCGTTAAACATTGCACATAGTAAATCTCTGTGTATGCGTTAATGTCACGAATGTTTAAGATTAATCTCGTGCAAATTGTTACGAGTACTTTTTAAGTACGTCGAAGTAACTGCTCATAGTGGGTAATCTTGCTAATTGTTCGGAAGTTATATTAACATGTACCTATTCTATTAGGGTTAGTTTTTCATAACTTGTTGTTTCATAGGTTATAGATTGGTTTTAAAAAACATTAAAAAGTAATTTAGCAGTAAAATTTATTATAAATTTTTGTATTTTTCTAATTTAAAGTTAGTATTACCGATAAACATAGTGTGACAAAAAAAGCTTGTAACTTATTGATACAAGATTCACTTGCTGTTTGACCATCTCAAGCCTACTTTTACAAACTTAATCCCACAGAAAGAACAGCAAGATTACACTTTACAATGTTGAAACTTAATTAACAACCAAAAACAGCAGATTTTACTTAAGATCTTCAACAGATTCTACTTAAAACCTTCAACATCTTCTCACGTCACCTTTTTAAGTTTCTTGGAAACAAAGTTTTTGTTATTGAGCATGTCATTGATATCCTACGTAATATTGTAAAATGTCATCAAATAATAAACAATATGATTTTGTAACTTTTTGAATTACAAAAGTTTACAGCTTGACCTTTGAGCGGTTAATCGTAATGATGTCTTGTTATTACTTCATAAAGATATTATATTATTATAAGTTGTGTTGTTATTTTAGCATTAGTTAAACTGACCTGAATATTAATAATATATAAGAACAAACAAGAATTAAACTGTTTGTTTTATTAATAGTTAAAGATCGTCAATGTAAACTATTTAACATATTATAGTTTACGTCATGTTATAAGTCAAGTCAATAGTGTATGTTACAGATCTGAAAAAGAGCGTACGCCTTGTCCCCTTTACAGGTCTAGTATATTATCCTCGGAAGACCAAGTCAATGATGTGTTAGCTCACAATTTCATAAAAAATTTATGTCAAACTATGGTATCTCTTATTTTTCAGTTTTACAATAATTTTGTACAAACTGGAGATGCATTGACGTGTTGCAACTATATATTATGTTCTTTTTCCGGAAGTCATCTTTGATTTTTTGAAGTCTTACAAACAAAGTACTCAACATGCCCCACTCAGAAGCAGCCCAAAGTTTTATATAAATTCTTTGTACTGCTACTAGTACACATCAAAAATTTAAATCGCGCTTTTCAGTTTTAAAGTTTAAATGTTTTTTGAGTTCTCTGCCAATTTGGCAAATTTGGTATTTTGTTTAAAACACTTTTTTCGACTCTTCAGACAAGCTATGCTTACAAATTCAGAAATGCAGGTCTATTTAGAGGTTTTTTACTAGTACATCAAGGAAAAATTGTTAAAAGTCAAAAAATGGCAAAGTTATAATCTTGAAACACAATGCCAATTTGGCGGGAAATTCAAAACGTGAATTTTTAACTTGATTAAAAAGCACAGTTTTGTACTCTTCTGCAAATCTTTTTTTTAGAAGTTTGTTTTACACGATACAGTAACAACGTCAAAAACCGCTACTGTAAGCCCCACGTAAACATTTTTAATTAAGAACACAACATTCATGCGTCCTTATCCATGACATCCACACTCTATTGTAAGCACCGAAATAGTTTAATCAGCGTTTCGTAACCTTTAGCCAACGAAGCCGGCTTTGTAACATCCGTTCTATGAAATTATTCGAAAGCCAATTGAGACTTCCTATTTGCGTAATTAGACTGTTTAAATTGGGATTGAATATTCTCCTCGAAAAAACATAAACAGCTTGAATAGAATATGACAAAAATCAAAAAAAATTGTTTTAAAACTTAAAATTATGACAGAGGTAGAGCGCACAAAAAATTTGTTGAAGATATCACAGCTATTAGAAAATACCATGACTATTAGTATGCGTATTAACCTTTCAGTGAAAAGTTGTGTCGTAAGAACATACGACGTAAACACTACTATTTTTACAGTAACTATTTTGGTACGTGGTTTGTAATGTATCTTAGTCATATCCGGCTTTGTAAAACTTTGTAGAAAATCTTTACTATTTTGACTTATAAATCAAACTATAATAAGTTAAAACATGTTGCCAAAGTTGCCAAAAAAGACACTTTTTGTTGCTATGTTTGTTGCGCAAATAATTGTTAGAGCTGTTTAGGACCATTTTAGAACTATTTTTATCTATATTCTTTGTGTCTGCAACATACGTTACACATTAGACCTGAACCCTTTCTCTATAATCCAACGTAAACACTTTTTTATCACAATAGCAACGTACATTGTCATCCCAATGTTAATGTTCTAGAAGACGTTGTATATAATCTTCCGAGACTGGTCGTCCATCTTATTCACTAATTTTGACCAAAATGTTTACAATTACAAGAAAATTACAACTTTGAGGCTTCTATTACTCAAATATTTGAGATATTTGGCGATGACATAACACTCTTAATCTGCTAAGTTGTCATAGATTAATCTTACTGTACATTTTGCAAGGAAGCGGAGAATTCACTGTACGAGATGATACGACAGTAGAGAGTAAAGTTTGTGATATTCTGTCTGAACGTAAAAACAGTATGTTTTTGTAATAACGTAGGATCAAACTTCAGTACTACCTTACTGTAACTCTTTGTTATCACTGTTATAAACCGTTTAAGTACTAGCGAAATTAACTTTATAGTACTAGTATACTGTAACTTCTTGATATTTTTGTTACGCGGCTCTTCAGTACTAGCAATAGCAACTTCGTAGTACTGGCTTTATGATAGTAACATATAGTAATCTAATGTTAAACATTTAAAATTAGCCATAAAGAAAGTTTCCTAATCAAGAACTACAACAAAATATCTTGTGGTATGCTTGTAAAACTCCGCTAATTTATTACAATATTTTTGAAATTGAACTTCAACTACTGTATGTGACAATTAACTACTTCCACGTATTCGGAAATCTTGAGAAGTTACTAATTGAAAAGTGTTACAAGTACAAAAACAACTTGAGTATTTATGTTGTAGGAGTAACGGTA